CCCCAAAACCCCAAAACCCCAAAACCCCAAAACCCCAAAACCCCTTTGAATCAATATAAAGTTGAATGCTTGTGACGTCATAGAATACTTAAAATTTCCAAAACTAAAATAATTTCAGTTAAGCCATGTGGCCATCAAAGTTTGACTCAAGAAGATCTCTCAGCTCACGAGGGTCCATCTGGATGTTCTTATCAGCAAAAATTTGGAATCCAATCTTCTTGTTGTATGAAAATCAGATAATGATGAGGTCGATGGTCGAGAAAGTTGTTAAAAAGGGTGTTATACTCACTATATCATGTTAAACCAAACATTTGTATGAGAAACTCACTTATTTTCTTGTTGCATAAGTAGATAGGCTCTTTAGGCCCATTCACATTCGTGAGAATGATGTCAACCTCCTTAGTGAATCTGTTATACAAATATGTGCCTATCTTCTTTGGTATATACCTGAACAGATGCTGAAAGTACACTGTCGGAAAAAGATAGTAAAGTTTAAAGAACTGAGCAAAACGTTCCTTCGTAATTTTTAGAGATTCATTCATATCCTTGAGAATAGGAAGCTGAATTGTTATATTTGAAGTGTAGTTATTCATATCTATCTCTTCAACAGATTTAGGGAAGCCCTTCATAGATACAGGACATGCCATTAACAAGTTATCTGGGGCTTCCACATTGTTCTTGACAAACCATGAGTGTATACTTTTGCTCAAGACTCCCATCAAATAATTGTTGAATGTTGTTTTCTCATACTTTTTATAGCATTTCCTAATGTCTTCGAAATCAAATGTTTTTGATAGCAAAAGTACCGTCTCTGATGAAAGCTTCCCATCCGGGGTATGGATCATCCTTGTAGACTTGTGTACCTTATGGAACAAGATAACTAAGTATTGCAACAGTAGAGCGACTGGAGTGAACAAAACAAGTAAGAAAGTTTGAATGCTTGAGAAATCTTTATTCACTGGCATCATCTTGGGGCACAACGACTCATCGTTAAGAAAAGCAAACAAGGTGACAATGCCGACTCCATCTGTGAAGGAATGGTGTGCTTTCATGAGCAGCAGAGAAGTATCTTTAGTATAATCCTCCTTGAACCTCATCTCCCATTGAGGTTTGTCCATGGATATGTTAGTCGAAGCCCACTCATTTCAGTGATTTATTACGTCATCTCTGGTTGAGAACTTATCATCAATAATTTGGAACTGCTCTATTGCAACTTCAGGATCGATGTCTTTCCAGAAATGTATTCCTAAGAAGTTGAATGGGACTTGTCTCATCTTCCTGACGTTATGTAGTCCCTTTCTGTGCAAGCACTCTGTTTTGAGAACTTTTGCTTTAACCTTTTCGAGTTCGATTATTCCCATGCAATAAGCCGACTCTGCACCTGAATTGAAGAAGAATTGCACATCTTGGCCTGTGGCGAATTGATAGCCAAATTTGTTAAGAATTATACTCAATCAGTAGAAACCAATGGTCAAGGTAAGAACTGTCGGTATCACTCCACAGAAGTGTACCATAAGATATATTATTCCTGCATGCAGGATGCCATATTCAATGAACATTTAGGGTTTGGTAATTAATTTTAGATGTTCATTCTTGCTGCTCTTTTCAGGGGTTTTGGGGTTTTGGGGTTTTGGGGTTTTGGG